AGAGTTTATGAGTAGGGGGTGTAAACGAGCCGAACACTATTTCGAGCTCAAAAAGTGTGTTCGCTCGTTTGCTTAACGAGCCGAACACGAGCTGTTCACGAACAAAGAATCCTTTTAACAATCCTAATCATGTAGAGCAAAATTTAAAAATTATTATTTATATTAAAACATCATTTGAATCTAATTTAATAATGTTTATTCTTTTTTCTTAATCAATATTTTAATTGATTATAAATCTTTGTAGTTTGCTGAGTAGTATTTCGTGCCTAAAATAGTCGAACACGAACGAACACATCTTAGTTCGTGTTGGGCTCGTTAACTTATCAAACAAAATTAACGAGCAGAACACGAGCTGTTCAGAAACAACAAACCGTTTTGACAACCCTAATCCTGATTCAACCCCACTTCAACCTCTGAATCTTTAAGATTTTTCTTAATCGGTTCAATACAACTTTCAAAACCTCAGGCGCAACCTCATAACTTATTCTATTTTAAAATTTTCATAATTATTTTTATAAAATCTAGCTTTATCCCAATTTCCCCTTTCCTTCCATCAGAATAGTTAATTTCTTAAAACTCGGAGGTAGGTAGCATCTACAAATCCAATCAAGCAATGGCCAGTAGCAAGCATCGGGCTGGGGCAATAGAAAGCTTCCACGCACTCTTCACTGGGATGCGATTTAAATCCTAAGACTGTTGTCGTCCTCCGGGATAATCCTGCGCTTTCCAAAGCACACTAAGATCTATCCGGCAAGCCGCCGGGACGAATCGGCACTCGATCTCATACAGAACTCATGGCTGCACTTATTGGGAGCTGCGGAGTCCTTTCCAGCATACGCATGTCAAAACCTCAAGACCATATCAAAAGGCAGAATGCGTTCAACAGCAAGCGTTTCTGCAGCTTTGCCGCCGCCACCCCCGCATCGGTCTCTGTTGAGGTTACGGAACTTGTAAGTTCTAGTAGGTAGTCGCTTTTCAATTTTAAGTAATGAAAAGGGTGGAATCTGGAATTAGTTTGGCTTGTTTTTTCATTTAATTTTGGAATTAATTAGTGTTGTGATGCCCACATTGTAGCTGAAGGACGGGGAACACGGTTGTAGATCCATGAAGTGTGATGTGATGGGTTGCTTAGTTAGGGATGATTTATTGTGGGAGCTCATTGTTTTTAATGCTATGTTCTGATAAAGATAGTGTAGAGAGCGTGCAGTGTTGGATGTTAAGAAGGAGGGTTTGATGGGACACTCTCTTTCGTGCAAGGATAGTGTAGAGAGCGTGCAGTGTTGGATGTTAAGGAGGGTTTGATGGGACACTCTCTTTCGTGCAAGCTATTTGTGGTATGTAAAACAAAATTTAGAGGTGGGAGGCGATTTTGTGGATGCCCATAAAGGTGAAGATGAGGGCCTACATCACAGATTTCAATTAAAGTAGTAAGTTTCGAAGTGCTACATTTTTTATAACAACATTTCCTTGAAATAATACTGATCCAATGTTGAATTCTGGTTAATGAGGGAATGGGTTGCATTGATGAGAAATTCCTCGCAGGCCATGCTTCATAATGTTGTTGAGGGATGAAAGTACATAAACAGCTTTAGAGCTCATTAATCATGCCAACTTATTTACTGATCTGAGAAGGTTACATGATACATAAACTAGAGAATTAGAGTAGAGGAAAGTAGGAACTTCTTTCCATTCACATTCCTTCCAACCATATACATTGTACGGGTTATATATAGAGTAAGATTGAAGCTTCTAGAATAGCAGAGTATTCATAACAGAGAATCGTTCGGTTAGGATATTACTGCTATGGTGTCATGGGGACCACTTGTAGTATTGATAGGTCTAATACCCTTATGCCAACTGATGGTTCTTGGTAGGACTGTTAGCTTGGTTTGAATTTCGCGAAATTGACTTTTCAGAAGGGCTTTGGTAAGTATATCTGCTGGTTGGTGTTCAGATTGAATGTGTTCTAGTTGGATGTGGTTCAATTTAATGTGATCCTGGAGAAAGTGGTGGTCAATCTCGATTTGTTTCGTTCGCGCATGGAATATAGGATTCTTTGCAAGCGGGATAGCGGAGAGATTGTCACAATAGAGATGTGTTGGTTGAGTTACCGGAATGCCAAATTCCTTAATGTGACGCTGAAGCCATATAATATCCGTGGTTGCCATTGCCAAAACTCGATACTCGTTTACCGTATAGGATTGGGAAATCGTGGATTGTTTCTTTACCTGCCAAGATATAAGGTTAAAGATAGGAACACATACCCATGGTAAAATTTACGATCAGGCGATTGCTGCCCAATCAACATCTGCAAATGATGTAAGTAGAAGGGATCCTGTTGTAATTCACATCTCCAAATTGTTAGTGCCTTGTAAATAGCGCAACAGATGAATGAGCTGATTATAGTTGTCATTGGAAGGCGACTGCATGTGTTGGCAAAGATGATTTACAACATAAGCAATGTCTGGACGTGTGACGCGATGTATTGGAGAGTCCCTGTTAGTTTTCGGTACAGTTGAGGGTTATGGAACTCTATACTTGATTTGGCATTGGGGTCGCCAGCGTTTGTTGTTTCGTATACCTGCTTTCTCAAGTAGTTGAAGTATGCATCTCTTTTGGCTGAGAAAGTAGGTGTTGGTAGATTTGTGTACTTCGATGCCAAGAAAAAAACTAGCTTATCCCAGTTGTTTGAGAGAAAATTGTGCAGCCATAGCTTGGTTAAGTTGAGAAATAAAGTTGGGATTATTACCTGCAATTAAAATTTCATCGACATACATGATAACAAATACTGAGACATTGTGCTGGTTGTAGATGAAAAGCGACAAATCCGCTTTGCTGACTTGAGAACCCCTTGATGTAAAGAGCGTTGAGAAGGTTATAAACCAAAATTTCATCGACATACATGATAACAAATACCGAGACATTGTGTTGGTTGTAGATGAAAAGCGACAGATCCGCTTTGCTGACTTGAGAACTCCTTGATGTAAAGAGCGTTGAGAAGGTTATAAACCATTGGCGGGGTCCTGTTTTAGCCCATATAGAGATTTTTGAAGGAGACATACATGCTTAGGGAATTGTTTATCGTGAAAACCAGGAAACTGTTTCATGTAAACTTTCTCATTAAGAGTACTATGAAAAAATGCATTGGATATGCCAAATTGTAGTATATCCCATTTGTGGTGGAGAGCCACCGTGAAAAGTATACGAATAGTGGGTACTTTTGCCACTAGGCTAAATGTTTCACGGTAGTGGATACCATACTCTTGCTTATTTCCTTGAGCGACAAGTCTCGCCTTGTACCTTGTGATCATGCCTTAGGTGTTGAGTTTGGTGGTATATGCCCATCTTGAGCCAAGAATAGTAGTATTTGGTGGTGGAGGAACAAGCACCCAAGTTTGTTGTTGCGGTAGTGCATCAATTTCATCTTGCATAGCCTATTGCCAATGTGGGTACTTGAAAGCTTGCTTGTAAGAGGTGGGGATCTAGAGGGGTGGTTTGATGAAGGAGATTGAGTTTGTTAGTTGTTTTGAAGGGGTGATTTGATGAAGGAGATTGAGTTTGTTAGTTGTTTTGAGGTTTTCCATTTTAGAACGGGTAACCATGGGGACGAAATAACTGTTGGAGAGGAGAGTTGTGGTATAGATGTTGAGGCTGCAGGATGCGGGTATGTGGAGAAGTATTAGGCAGGTTTAGGTGGGATTGGTTTGGGACATGTACAATATCAAGAGGATTGTTGGATGGGGATGAGTATGTTGTGGGTGTGAGTAGTAGAGATGAGATAGGAGACCGTGAAGGCTGTTGGATATGAATTGGATTGTTGATGGCTGATTTGAATGGGAAGGTATGCTCATCAAAGGCTACATGCCATGATACAGTGATTTTATTAGTGAGTGGATTAAAACATTTATAGCCTTTTTGTTGAAGAGAGTAACCAAGAAAGATGTAGGGGATCAATCACGGTTCAAATGAGTTTTATGTTACAATAGTTCTATTTATTTATTCTTTTTTAGCTTTTATTTAAATGCAAAAGTACATTTTTTTAATGTTAAATGCAAGGAAAATGAATAAAATATGATTTATATACATGCATATGAGAGTCACCCATAATAGTACTGGCATATGAATGCAATATGCCGGTGCACGAAATGAAAATGAAAATAGTTTGCCTTTTATCGTGGGTTGGAAATGGTAGATATAGTGTGTTAGATTTTACTGTTATCTCAATTTTGAATATTTAAAATAATGTACAAACTGGTTGTAACTTTAAATTTTATAAATAGAATGACTTTTTTGTGATTTGGATTTTTGTTTTTGTTGAGAAATGAAACTGTTAGATAGATTTCCTCTGTTCAACCGTAAGTTCCTGCATTGATATTTCCAAGCTCCAGAGCCAAGTCGAGACAGATTGGTGGAGGCATAAGAGTAATGTATGCTGGACTCAGCTTGTTCTACTCAATATGTTCAGATTTAGAGATGTTTTTCACATATGAACTAAGTTTTAGTAGTTTCATGCACATAGGAAATAGATCTATATTTAAGGTTCAAGGTTCTGGTCCTGTGAAGTTGAGGACACATGGCAATGTGATCATTTTGTTAGCAAAGTCAGGTGTATATTAGATTTGAGAAATAATCTAATATCTTTAAATGCTATCAATATTGCAGGATCTAAGCTCTTAGGTGATGCTAATGCCTTTAAGGTCTGTATGGGTGTTTTGATTGTCTTGATGACAAACATAATTGGTGGACTCAATCAATATGTTGCAAATTGTAAAATTGAGTGATGATGTGTCTAATTTAACCCTTTTGTGAAACTTCATAATTTGAGGAAGCAAATGAGAGTTAAATTATAAGATGCAGGTGTGCAAAATGCGACACAAATTGAGGGGAATATTTATGTAGACAATCAGGCAGCTCATGTTTGTATTGCTTATAACAACAACTACAAGCCTTTATCCCACTAAGTGGGGTCGGCTACATGAATCTTTTTTCTCCATTGAGTCCTGCTGAGAGTCATATTTTCATTTAATTCTTGTTTGTATTGTATAATATATTTGATTCCATGTCAACCATCACAAAATTTAGAGTGAAGAGAAAATCACTTTGGTGTTAAAAAAATCTAGTGGTAGGCGTATGTCCAATATTGATAAATTTACCTTGGTGTGCAATTGGTGTGCTGGGCAGGCTCATGCGGATGCTTAGCTAAGACTCTAGAAACTAAGTGAAATTACATTGTGTTTGTCCCCCTTTGGTGGTTTGTTTTGATCTAGTGTTGGCTTCCTGGCTATTGCTGTTATAGTTGATTCATTTCCTTTATATTAGTTAAAACTTCAGTTTTCCTTGACAAGAGTTTGCTAAAGGTTCTATCAATGCCTTTACTTTTGTATTTATGACTGATATGCTCTCTTACATATGTTTTTAATGATTCTTTTTCAATTGAATAACCAAATTATTTTACTTGGTCTTGACTCTTGACTTTTCTTATGAGTTGTGATTAAATCTATTCATCATGCTCAATGTTTTTGGTTTGTCCCATCTTTTGGATTTGAGGTGTGACATGGCTTTTGTGTCATCAACCTTAAACAAATGGTAGATCACATTTGTGGCACCGTCTCTCTTTCATTTTAAGGGCCTAGACTATTCCATCTGTTCAACTTTTAGTGCTTTGGTCTTAGACTTTATAACTGTTTTTATTGTTAATCTCATTTCAGAATTCTACCGTGGAAAAAATTGGCAAGGGTTCTGAATATAGTGATACTTTATATAAGCTTGCATGCCCAATTTGTTACAAGCCATTCATTAGTAGAGGCGACCCGCGACTGACTTTGTAAGTAATCAAGTTTGTGCTCAAGCGGAGTTACCATGAACTTCTAGATGCACAACTTTTAAATTTTGTGTTTATAATATATGTTTGAAGAAAAGTGTCAAAATAGTCAATTTTCCCTTGACTTTTTGCTGGGAGTTATAAAAGTGTCAATTTAGTTTCTGGACTCTTTTAATATTGGGCATATAGTCTCCACGGAGGACCTTGTCAACCCAAATTTAAAGTTTCTAAAGACCAATTTGCGTAAGGACTATTTCAGCCCCAATTTAAAGAGTCTGAAGACAATTTAACATTTTTATAAATTAGGACAAAATGGTCTCATGTAAATAGTCAGGGGATCATTTTGACACTTTACTCAGTTTATAAGTTTGCAGTCTTGGATGCTGCATTATTTTGTTTGTATTTCAGTTCCTCTACTATTGGGTCTGGAGCTGAATGCTGTACGTGCAAGAAGTTTTATCCCCACAGCGGAACATATTTTGATCTCACGATAGCGAGTGGATTGGGGGAATATAATGAAAGCATGCCTGCTACAGCAGAAATGTTCAGGTGATAGAATTACCATGATGGTTATTATATGCTTGGTAATAGTGATTTGTGAAATGAGAAATGCCTGAACCTACCTATAAGGTAGCATTGCACCGCACAAGCGCTCTAGCTAGACTATTGGGCTTGAAGTGCTTCATATCGTAGACTTGCGTCTAGATAAATCCATTCCAGCTTTATCACTCTCTACTTGTACGCATATATTTCTATTTAAATTCCTTTCGTCCCTATCAAGAGATATGATATGGAACTGCTGAATGAAAATTTGAAGTCTTGTCCTTGGAGACGGACAGTCTTCTATTTGAAAGTTTTTTTAGTTATACTTTGTTATTCTAATTAAAATATTTCTTTGCAGTAGATGATATCTGTATTAGAGTTTTTAACTTCTCAACTCATTGATGCATTTCAGATAGCTGTGCTGCCCAAACAGTAGTATGAAATATGTGCTTCAATGATTTTAATGTTTTGGTCTTGCTTTTGTAGTTTGATATAACAAACAGCAAGCTGTGAGGCTGACATACAAAACTGTTAGAAAATAATTTAAAATCATTTTGTTTTCAATGTGCTATGATAATTGATTCAACAAAAAGACGAGCTCTTTAGACGCTTGATATTGAGTTTAGTCTTTGGAATTGTGCTGGATATATTATGGTTAACTATTGTTCCTCATTGTTCCCCATGCATACGCTTTGTTTTAGAACACTGCCTTCATAATTTTCTTTTTAAAGGTGTTGACTATGTTGACCAGCCTGCATATCCAAACCTCATTTACTTGATTGAAAACATGTCCATTTCATTTCCTCGATTTCTTTCCAATCCTCCATAGAAGAACCTTCTTACTGCCCGAAACTATTGTTTTACTTCTGAACTTATTTCACACTCTTTATCTAATCTCTTTGTCCAATTAAATATTAATCTTTTGACTTTCTCCGTCTATCCTTCTGTTTAAAATGTATTAGTTTATCCTATTCCTGTGGATTGTAATCAAAAGAGATTTAAAGTGTAGTGATAATAAGATAGTAATACAACACCTGCAATACAATAAATATTGTTCACACTTGTCATTGCGGTTGCACTATTTCCATACCATTTCTAATAATTTGCACCCTAGTTTCTTATATGAAGCGTTTCTTATAATAGAAATTATTGCTAAACCACACCCTCCCTCGTTTCATTTCATTGATGACGGGATTATATAGAGTCTTTATCACATTTACAAATAAATCGGTATACTTCATTTATTTATAAATAAGATCCTACATTAGATACAAATCTCAACCCCTCTCAAGATGGGCAAAAGATATTTACTAAACCCATCTTGTCACATAACCTAGAGAAATCTAATGAGCTAAGTCCTTTGGTGAGGCAATCGACCACTTGCTCTCCAGTGGCTACATGGCTTAGCTTCAGTAGTCCGTTATTCATCATTTCCTTGATGAAGAACCTATCAATCTCCACATGGTTGGTTCTATCATGTTGCACCGGGTTGTTGGCGATGTTGATCGTTGACTTGTAGTCGCACCACATCATTTTTGAGCTTCTTGGTCCACCTTGAGCTCTACCAACAAGGCTCTCAGCCACATCATCTTGGCAACTCCTAATGCCAGGGCCCTGTAGTCTGCCTCTGTTGTTGATCTTGCTACAACTGACTGTTTTTTTGCTCTTCCACGAGACCAAGTTGCCACCTACAAACATGTAGTATCTTGATGTGTATCGCTATCATTAGCACAACTTGCCCAGTCAGAATCATAGAAGCTCTTAATATCTGCATCCCCATTCTTTCTGAATATCAACACTTTCCCTAGTGTACTCTTCAAATGCCTTAGAATCCGATACACTGCATTCATATGACCCTTGGATCATGCACGAAACGGCTCACCACACTTACTTTAAAGAAATATCAGACGAGTGTGGCAAATAAATCAGGTGACCAACCAGCCTCCGGTACCTATGCCAGGGCCCTGTATTCTGCCTCTGTTGTTGATCTTGCTACAACTGACTGTTTTTTTTCTCTTCCACGAGACCATTGCACCCCCGCATACATGTCTCCGTGAGAAGATTCAACACATACTTTCTCTAGGATATGACCATCCCCTCAGGTCCACGGGTCACATCAATCTCAAGAAAGTATCTGAGTTGTCCCAGATCATTTACCTCAAATTGTTTCCCCAATCTTCCCTTCAGTTGAACAATCTCTATCTCATCATCACTAGTGATAGCTATGTCATCCACATACGCAAGTATGGTAGTGTGAGCTTCATGGTGTCGAAATAACACAATGTGGTCTGCATTGATCTTTTGATATGCAATGCCAACCATCTTCATTCTAAACTTGTCAAATCAGGCTTGAGGAGACTGCTTCAAGTCATACGGTGACTTCCCGAGCCTACACACCTTGCCCACTGTCTGGGAAGTACTAAATTCTGGTGGTATCTCCATATATACTTTCTCCAGTAGCTCCCTGTGAAGAAAAACATTCTTCACTTCCAGTTGGTAAAGTCTCCATCTACCATTCACTGTCAGAGAAACCATTGTCCTCTCCGTGCTCATCTTTGATACTGGTGTTGCTTCTAGCTATACCTTCTTGTCACTAGTCGTGTTTTATATCTTTTCACTTCCCCTTTTGGAGTTTGTTTTACCTTGCATATCCACTTGCAACCAACCGACTTCTTCCCTATTGGTACTGGTACTGGTACGATCTTCTATGTTCGTTTTTTTATTAAGAGCTCCAAGCTCTTCATGCATCGCCGTTTTCTACTTAGTATCCTCTTTAGCAACCTTCCAACACTTGAGTATAAAGACAGAGTCCAATGATGCAATGAATGCTCCATACAAAGGTGAGATGTTAGAATAAAAAATAAAGTTCACAATTTCAATTTCTCACCCAAAATGATCAGGAAGATGTCTCGCAGTGGTGCGGGAGGTCCTACTTAATCAGGAAGATGTCTCGCAGTGGTGCGGAAGGTCCTACTTAACGTTCAGGAGTAGGACTGAACGGAGGAGGAATAATATCACCTGTAGCAACCTTCAACACTTGAGTATAAAGACAGAGTTCAATGATGCAATGAATGCTCCATACAAATGTGAGATGTTAGAATAAAAAATAAAGTTCACAATTTCAATTTCTCACCCAAAATGATCAGGAGGATGTCTCGCAGTGGTGCGGGAGGTCCTACTTAACGTTCAGGGGTAGGACTGAACGGAGGAGGAATAATATCACCTGGGAGTTTTGAATCAAATTCTGATGGTATAGGTATCGTAAGAGTTGGGGAAGACCGAGATAACGGACTTTTGGCACTGTAGTTTTTGTTTCCTCAGTTTGTTTCTTCATAAATGTATATAACCTTAACTCACCTTCAACCTAAATCCCACAACCTTTGGGGTCAGTCTCCTCGATTTTTGTCTCCTCAGTTGATTCATCCCACATCAGTGGATATGACATTGCTCTCACTAGCACCACTCCATCGCCACTGCTACTCACTCCCTCTTGACTCATATCTTCAATGTCTATTGAGTATCGAAGGGTGAATTCACCGCAAAGTGTAGTATGGTTTAAACTATTTGAATGACATATCTATACTCACAAACAGTTTCTTCTCAATCGGGCTCCAGCAGACATAACTTTTATGAGTAACAGAATAACCTACGAACACACATTTCACAGCTCTGGATTTAACTTCCCTACAGATGGCATGTTGTCATTTACAAAATATGTACATCCAAATACCTTAAATGGATGGATCTCACTTTTTTATTTTTTTCAACATCTGACAAGTAGATTTTCACTCCAGCACTCTTTAGGGCATCCCGTTAATCAGTTTAGCGGCTGTCAACACTGTTTTTCCTCATAAGTGTCGTGGGACATTCATTGCCATCATGTTTCAGGCTACCTCTAGAAGATGTTGATTCTTTCTCTCTGCAACTCCATTCTATGCTGGTGTGTATGGGTATGTGGTTTGATGTTATATCCCTTGAGCTGACAGGTAGTCCCTAAATGTTTTGTTGATATATTCCGTCTCATTATCAGATCTCAGTGTTTTCACAACTGTACCATATTGGGTCTAGATTGTCTTGTGAAAATCTTTAAAGCAAGCAACCACCTCATTCTTCTGTTTCATCAAACATATTCAGGTAATACGAGAAAAGTAATCAATAAACGTAATAAAATAGCAATAGTCATTTATAGAACTAGTAGGACAAGGTCCCCATACATTTGAATGTATCAAATCAAACACATCAGAGCTCATATCCCAAAAACTGACATAAGAGCTCTTAGTGAGCTTGTAAACTCACAAATATGACGTACCAGTTTCTCCTTATTTGCCTTTTCATAATAGATAGATACAACCGACTCAGTAAATTAAGACTGGAATGTCCCATACGTTTGTGATGTAGCAGTAAGACATCCTTAATTTTCCTCCCAGATTCTCCTACTATAGCACTTTTCACCATGGATGCTAGAGCTTGAGTCCATCATCTTTCGGTCCAAGTATCAGAGTCCAATATGTTACTATCCAGTCCCAAGTGTCCGACTCTTCTTTTTTCTCTAAGAAGATCACTTAAAGAATATCAGTTCCTCCCAGATTCTCCTATTATAGCACTTTTCACCATGGATGTTAGAGCTTGAGTCCATCATCTTTCGGTCCAAGTACCAGAGTCCACTATGTTACTATCCAGTCCCAAGTGTCCGACTCGTCTTTTTTCTCTAAGAAGATCACTTAAAGAATATCAAAATAAATAATGCATTTTAGTTGGAGAATAATAATACTAATGGATAAGAAATTTATTGGAAAAAATGGAGCATGTAAAATATTGGACAGCTATATGATTGATACATCTCACTATACCCTTACTAACTACAGGCTGCATTGTGCCATTAGCAGCCTGCATACTCTCAGGTACTGTTAGATGAATGCCTGTCATGTGACGAGAAGCACCAGAATATGATTCATTCTGATGATCTTATGATGGAAATAAAGGTAAGAGCAAGTGTGTCACCAGCA